TAGGGAACTGGGCTTGTTTAGTCTGCAGAAGAGAAGAGTGAGGGGGGATTTGATAGCAGCTGCCTTCAACTACCCGAAGGGGGGCATCCAAAGAGGATGGAGCTCTGCTGTTCTCAGTGATGGCAGATGACAGAACAAGGAGCAATGGTCTCAAGTTGCAATGGGGGAGGTCTAGGTTGGATATTAGGAAACACTATTTCACTAGGAGGGTGGTGAAGCACTGGAATGGGTTACCTAAGGAGGTGATATCTCCATCCTTAGAGGTTTTTCCTGTGGCTACATGTTGAGGCATGTTTTGTGGTAGCTGATCCAAACACTCCACCTCTAGTGACTTTCGCTGTAGATAAAAATATGGCTGACCAGTACAGAATTTGTGTGCAGTGTTTTGTTGTAGCCACGTCGGTCCCAGGATATTAGAGACCAGGTGGATGAGGTAATATCTTTTATTGGATTAACTTCTGTTGGTGAGAAACAAGCTTTCAAGCTTCCCCAGAGCTGTTCTTCAGGTCAGTGCAGAATTTGGCAGATGAGCTCCTGACAGTGTCTGGAGGGGAGGACCTTCTGGTCTCGGAAGGATGCGCAAGAATTCTGCAAATGAGAGCATTCATTCATAATGGAGGAAATCTTTATAGAGGATTTGCCCTATCAATTCTCAGGTCTGTCATCATGTCTCTATTATAATGTACAAGTAATAGAATACCCGGAAAAGCTGCCTTTCTTCTTCCAATATTGGATTATCTAGGGGTCAGATCATGGTTTCCAATATGTCTTATAAATTCTGTAATTTGCATGATGGTATTAATTAGAGTCTATTTGTTAAATTTAGGGTGTGACTTCAGGTATTGGATGTTGCACCAATATGCATCAATGGATTCCTGTAGTTAGCTGGCATTCATATAACTTCACACTTCAGCTCACCTTGCATTTTTTCTTTCTAGGGCCAAACACTGGTACCATGATTGCTATTGGTAAGTAACTTAAAATTTAAAAAATAATTCAATGCACAGACTTTATGTAGTAAGATGCAGTAATAGCGTAAGATATTTAATGTTCCACTGTCTTCATCTCATACAATTTTTCCCCGCTGCTTCGCTACATGAGGAATCTACTCCGGGCAGCTAGTTTTTCTGTTACTGTATTACAGGGGTCGGCAACCTTTCAGAAGTGGTGTGCCGAGTCTTCATTTGTTCAGTCTAACTTAAGGTTTCACGTGCCAGTAATACATTTGAACATTTTTAGAAGGTCTTTCCATAAGTCTATAATATATAACTAAACTATTGTTGTATGTAAAGTAAATAAGGTTTTAAAAATGTTTAAGAAGCTTCATTTAAAATTAAATTAAAATGCAGAGCCCCCCGGACCGGTGGCCAGGACCCAGGCAGTGTGAGTGCCACTGAAAATCAGCTTGTGTGCTGCCTTCAGCACGCGTGCCATAGGTTGCCTACCCCTGTTGTATTATGTCCTGTCTGGTGGTGTCATGTAAAAACTCATGAGGCAGATGCTTGACTTAAAGAATCCAAGAACTATAGGCCTGGAAGGGACCTCAAGAGGCCATCAAGTCCAGCCCCTGTGCTGAGGCAGGACCAAGTAAACCTAGATCATCCCGGACAGGGGTTTGTCCAATCTGTCCTTAAAATCCCCTGTGATGGGGATTCCACAGCCTCCTTTGGAAGCTTATTCAGTGCTTAACTGCCGTTAGTTACAAAGTTTTTCCTAATATCTAACCTAAATCACCCTTGCTGCAGATTAAGCCCATTACTTCTTGTCCTGCCTTCCAGGGGAGGTTGGGAACAATTGATCACTGTCCTCTTTATTCAAAGATGTTAATGGCTCTTGTACTCTGCCGTGCTCCCCCCTCAGTTTTCTCCCGATTCAATCTACCATGGGTCAACTTCTGGTAAAAATCCATTTATTTCGACTGTCTGTATAAACTTGTGATTTATTAATATTTACCTAAACCGAGTCGCCTACTGTGATTCCATCTTAACTGTTATATTCAGGTTTATATGATGTGGAAGTGGGAATTAAGGATCTTACCCCTAGAAGCTCAATTCTGTAGGTCTGTTTTGGATAAGGGCTACTACTACAAACTGCATGTGTATGTCTGGTGTCCACCAGAAATGGGAATGGAAAAAGCAACGGAGAAGAAACACGACATTGGGAGTTGACCGTGTAGGATAACATTTCACTGTTCTGCCTTTCTAGTTCCAGAGCTGGAACTTTCTCTCCATTTTGAAGGGAGGTTTTAGTCCTGTGACTTTTTTCTAATATTGGACATTTTGTTAATGTCTCTGTTCAATTTTCTCTCAGGAGAATAACATTTTGGCTCAAATCTTTATATGAGATCTTCAGTAGAGAAACCATCATTAAAGCACCTATGGGAAACTCACCTTTGAATAATCTTGGTGCTGATGACATTGGTGCAAGTGGATTCCAGAATTGTGAATTTTTGCTGGATTTCACCATAAATGTTCTAGTTTAATGTTATCACCAGCTTACTGTTTCCTTTTTTCCATCAAGGAGTCGTCATTGGTTTATTGGTGGCTGGTGGAATTGTTGCCATTGTGACATACAAAGCTTGCTTTGGGGGAAAAGGGTGAGCCAAAACAAGAACCTGATGTCTCACTAATTCTTCAGAGTAGTTCACCATTTCTTTCCTGTAGTGCTTCAATTGCTGTGTGCGCTAATATAGTCTGAGGTTTTACCTGATTTTTGTTTAGTTTAGCAACCCGTATCTTTTCTTGCATACCTGCATGCGAGGAGAAAGCAAAGGCATGGCTCTCCAAAACTGCACTCACCAGCAGCTCTGAAGTAATGACACTTCCCAACTATACATAGAGGCTTTTCTAGGATCACATCTCAAATTTTTTTTATCAGCAGCCAAGTGCAGAAGCTTTTAAGTGAATTAAATGGACTATTTTCTCTAACTTGGCCATGCTTCATGTAATGCTACTTCGCCATTCCAGGAAAATGTAGTCTGCATTAAGAAAAACACTTAATACCATATTTGTTGTATTTGCTTTTGTTGGAAAACATCTTGTGTTGTGCAGAAATCTGTATTGGATGCTGAAAGTTTAGGATAGAACTGTTTTGTGGTTTGTTTGTTTTTTTTGTTTTTTTGTTTTTTGTTTTAGATCTTTACATCCTAATGTGTTTTGCTAAGCTGAGTAACCCCATCTTACACAAAGCAAAACTAACACATGCTTAATTGCCTGAACCATCCCCCTGCCTCAAATCCCAGCCCTTCAGCTGTGGAAACTCAAGCCCCAATCCTGTCAGCACTTCCACATGTGCTTTAATTTTTATGCACATGAAGATATCCCCTCATCTTACAGGGGTTCTGTGACAATCATGTAGCCAAGTGATTCAGAAATGGAATTAATGTGTCTGTCTTCAGAGCAGGGTTTGAAGAGTGTGCAGTAAATAAGGCCTGGGGCCACAGCTGTACAACAAGGAGAAAACACAACATAAGAATGGCCATATGGTCCATCTAGTCTAGTGGCCACTGTTGGTTGATTCAGAGGGAATGAACAGAACAGGGCAATGATCAAGAGATTGATTCCCTGTTGCCCAGTCTCAGTTGTTGGCAAGTGTGCTGACACCCAGAGCATGGGCTTGCATCCCTAAGCATCTTGGCTAATAGCCATTGATGGAACTATCCTCCATGGACATAACTACCGTAATTCTTTTGTGATCCCAGGTAGATTTTTGGCCTGTCAACAAGTTCCACAGGTTGACTCTGTTGTGTGAAGTACTTCTTTGTTAGTGCTAAACCCGATGCCTATTAAATTCATTGGGTGACCCCTGATTTTTGTGTTATGTGAGGGGGAGTAAATAACACTTCATGCCATTTATGATTTTTTGAGACCTCTATCATATCCCCGTTAGTCTTCTAAGCACATTTCTAAACAAAAAATATAAGCTGCTCCTTAAGTGAGTAATATCTGTCATATGCACTGAGTGAGGCAGGGGTCCTGTGGGGAGAAAACAGCAGGTGATCGTGTAACTAAAGACTGATCACCGTGCGTATGGACAAGGAGGTCAACTCAGGTTGTACAGGCAACCTTAATTCTTGCCTTTTCTTTGCAGCCTTATTAATGTTTTTTAACATAGGATGTTTAATGTAGGACTTTCTAGTATTCCACACAAAAGAGTTGTCCTTAAATATCCAGCTAACCCTCAGCCCATCTCCTCAGCAGCCTCGGGCGGGTGGGGCGGGGGAGGAGGACATGGCAGAGGTTCACTACATATAGTCACTTTTGCACAACTTAGTAAATTCAGCAGTTTAGATTAAATTTTCAGAATATTACTTTAAAATCAGTACAGATATAAAAATGAATAAATGATTAAAAAAAATTCTGGCCAGGCAGCCCAAAAGCACTGTACAAAAAGGTTCTACACTACTACCTCATTTCCTTCTGTCCTCAGCAATAATGTAGGGAATCGATGTGCTTTGCTCACACTCCTTTTCACACTATATACTTTAATATTCTTATTTCTAAGATAATAGAAATCAATTTCTTCCTGTCAACATACCAGTCTTTTAAATGGGACACTAGAGCTTTTATCAGCTTCTACAAATCAATCCCTTTATACAACCAAGGACAATTAAAGCTCCATTTTTAAACTGTAGATCCATGTAAAAAGGAAAAATCAGGGCACATTCAGCGTGGCCAGTGGGAGGGAAGGAGCTGTGTCTGGTGGTCTGAAACTTAGTGTATGTCTACATTGGAACTGGAGGTGTAACTTTGAGCTCAGGTGTAGACATACCTGCATTAGCTCGGATTGAGCTAGCATGCTAAAAACACAAGTGTAGCTGCAGTGGCGCTGTACTTGGAAGGCTGACTTGCCACTCGTGCCGCCACAGCTACACTTCTGTTTGTAGCATGCTAGCACTGGGCTATGTCTACCCGAGTTGCAAACTACATCTCCAGCTCCGGTATGGACATAGCCTTAGTGTGTCTGTCCCAATCCCCCAACCCAAAGTGTCTTCTCTATTTTGATTTTCTCCTCCCATTGACAAAACAGGAATACTTGAGTTATCCTCAAACTAGGTGTGTGTCCCAGAGCTTTTTCCCATGGACCCCAAGAGATTCAGGCCCAGAATGTCTTCAGAAATGTCTAAAATTTTCAAGTTTGTAAAATGTGAATATGGCTCACTAAAAACATAATCCTATTGATCTGCTGTTCAAGATTTGCTCGCTACAGCGTTCACAGTGGAGATTTTGTCTTGCTGCTAATTAACACTGTGTAAAAGCTTTTTAAAATTGTTTTAAAGTGTTACTATTTGAAAAACTGCCATTTATATGAAGTTCCCTTGGGTTCCATGGATTCTGAAGTGCCTTTGATTTGCACCCAAGATCTAGTTTCAATCTAAATTTCTTTGTTTAGCTCTAACTTTGCTATAGATATCTTAGATGCTATGGAGCCTGCTTTCTACTGTATAACCATTCTCAGAAATGTCAGTATTGCTTGTTACCTGTGTAGGCAGAGACTCACATCTTCCCATCCACGTAATAAACATTCTTAGCTTACAGGACATTTCAACAAAGCACCTGCCTAATATCTTTTGTAGGGTAAATGAGAATTCTGGTGCTGAGGCTTATTTTAATCTTTCATCTGTAAGCAAAGACCAATGATCATAAGCCTTTAACAGCACATGGTGTCCCATGACATGTCTAAACTAATGAGATGATGTGCAGCATCCTACAACTGCTAATTTAGAGCTGTCTCCAGCTACACAGGTAACTGACTTTAGAGATCCTTTCTGCTTTGTATAACTTTTAGCTTTCCTTTTATTTTCGATATCCTTTAATGCTTTTTTAGAGGAGGTACATTGACCAGCTGTTGTGCTCAAGCACAATATAATTCAAGTCGTGAGCTATTAGATACTATCCCTCTGAAGCAACACTTATGCTAGTTGTGACGTATTGCACTTTTGTCATGACCATCAAGCCTGGTGCTTGTTGACTGTAATATTGTATTTGGAAGCCCAATTAGTAAAATCTTTTGAATAATATTCCGTGTTGGAAGTTCCCAAGAAAAGATACTCGCATTTGAAATGGGCTTTTACTGCCAGAATAAAACAAATCCAATATTAAGATGACTTGCAAGTAGCATGTTGCTATGTAGTCTCTCTGACTATGAAAAGTACTGACTTGCTAAGATTTAACTGGGGACAGTTTTGAAAGAACTAGCCTAAATGAGGTAACTCGTCCTCTTATACGTTTTAACCAGAGCTGTCTATTAAATAGGAAAAGACACGCACATTAGAGAAGAAAATTTGTACATTGGTTTCTTGCATTCCAATGCGATTTTTACAATGCCAAGACTAATCCACATACAAAAATGACTTTCTCTGTGTGAGGAAACAGGATTCTGACCAACAGTTCCTGATTCAGGACATGGTACAATGTGGCTTGTTTTACCTAACTTTTGTCAAAACACACAAATGAAATCTAAAACTCAGAAGTTTAATGTTGTGTATTTTTGTGTTCACTTAATCCCAGAAACAGTTTGCTGTCTGAAAAAGTAAAGCCATAGGTTTTTCCAATAATTTAACTTCAGTTTTTAGGAAACCCTTTTAAGCTTTATACTTGACTTTAATTAATTTGCATATTGACCAATCTTTTGTCAAACTATTAATAGCTCTTTTGAATGTTTTCTAGAAGAGCAATATGCTTAAATAAATTTGAGACTTCACTCAGTAAAGGGGTACTAGCACATACACTAATTATAAATTAGTCCTCTATACCCAATCATGTGAACCTGAAGCTTGACATCTCTGTTTGCTGCAGTCCCCTGGAGATGTTTGATTGGCGGAAATATGAATATAAATATTGATAGGAAGCTTGAGTTAAAACTGTGTCTCCTTTAAAAGGGGCACAGCTGGGTAGAGTGCATATAGATCTTACCTGGTATGGGATTTCTTACACAATTGAGTTTGAATAGAAAATTGTACATAAAATTTTGGATTTAAACATTCTCTTAGTTTGCAACACTGCAATGCTTCATTGTGCTAGTGCTTGGAAAGCTAATTTTCTCTATGTGCACTGAAAGAAATGCAAAAGTAAGTAGCATTAACTAGTTTTTTTTAATCTTTCACTTTTTTAATCATCTAATGATATGGAAATAACATGTAAGGATCTTTTAAGCCAGTTAAACTCATGACTATAGAATTCTAGAAGTGAGAGACAGAGAGGACCTGTCAAATCATCCTGTTCCTGCAAAGGCAGGATTGTTCTCTACCATTTTAGTCCATGCTAGTTTTAAAAGTTACAGGTAATAGGGCTTCCACTACTTCCCTCCCCCCCCTCCCCCAAAAACCCAAACCT